AACCCTAAACCCTAAACCAAGCTCTAAACCCTAAACCCTAACCCTAAAACTCTAAACCCTAAAATTCTAAACCAAACTGAGAGCCTGACACGATCTCAAGCACGTGAATCAGCACAAGGAGGAGGTCGAAGACGTTCGTAAACCTCGGAGGTTGCAACTGCACTTGTAAAAGGTCCCCCCCTGTAGTATTGATTAGGGTTTAGGGTTTAGGGTTTAGGGTGCAACTGTACTTATAAAAGGTCCCCCTGTAGCATTGATTGCCTGGGCTGTATATAGGGGCTAGACCGTCCTTTGTAGCTACCTGCCACATCTTACCCCGAGGTTTCGAAAACCCTTCCAATCAGAGACTCCCCTACGGCTCCTAAACTTGAATACTAACCCCCCTACAATGACTAAGGGCAGGCGACTACTAGCCTTGAAGCCTGCACCGAGGCATTAGGTACTTGCATCTGTGGGGTTAGCTTCATGGCTTCCCCTGTACAGAACGGAAGTTTACGGGACGAGACGTACCCCTACAGTCCCTGCGGGGAGGCTCACATTTAAGTAGCAACACGGTGCTGATCAAGGAGGCTGCATGAATCCGTCCACCTCATCGTAGAGCCACTCCCTTCTGAGCACCAGCATGCGTGCGAGGACGTCCAGGACATAGATGGAGCCTTGCAATGTATTTTGAATCCCTTTTGCAGTTTCTCTTTTGGGAGTGATGGGTTGGGGTGCCGGGCCTTTTCGCATTTCTACCGGACAAGTCGGGATCAGGATCAGAAGCAGAATGCGTAGACTGAAATAGGCAACATTGTTGCAAATCCTGCACACTTGCAGAACACTGCGGGGCCAAGCCGGTTTAGGGGTTCTAGTGTCCACGGAACATACATATGCATACACAAGTATACCCAATATACAAAAAGAAGTCTTTATATAGTATACATGCCCCCCCAAAAAATATGCATATGTACATAATTCGACCCTAAGGTACCGGTGGCAGTGTCATTTAAGCCCCTTCAGGCAGCAAGTTTACACCACGTCGGCAGTTGGATCGTTTTGGGCGCTATGGTGTGACCTGACACGGGCTGAGGCATCGAAGATACTTGGATCAAAACCCCGGAGCCCCCTCAGAAAGCTGTCCCTTGAAAAACCAGTTTGAACAGAAAAGCAAACACTAGACTTAGAAACGCCCTATGTCGCACCCAAGGGACAAAAAGCCACGTCCACAGCCAGGAAGACATCCGCCGTCAGGACACTGGAATTCGACGCCCGGGGCTCCGCAATTCCAAGGCTTACGTCGGCTTGATGGCCGACCTGGGGAGGCTTTAGTAGGATTTAGGGTTTAGGGGTTTAGGGTTTAGGAGTTTAGGAGTTTAGGGGTTTAGGGGTTTAGAGTTTAGGGTTTAGGTTCCGGGCTTGGGGCTTAGGGTTCTAAGGTGTAGGTACAGATCCATCCACCCCGGAGCACGATGGGGATGGGGATGCCCCTAGTTTCGTCAGGCTCCGGCTCTGACAGGACTGGAGTTCAGGGCTTTATGGTTCTAAGAACGGGTATCCCCAGCCGGGTTGCGGCTGATCTGAGCAACCCAACGTCTCCAAGAACTACCAATAACTAGCAGCTTTTACGGAAAAGAAATCTTGGGTGGAAATCGAATCTCTGCAAAGGCCGGAGCTTTCGCAGTCTCATCACAGGTGCCTGGATTTCACATAAGCTTGTTCGGCAGAAGCATAGCGAGTTTGGGAGTTTGAGGTCTAAGCCTGGCCTTGGAAAAAATTCGAACAGGGCTTCACGTATTTTTGCAGCAATGAGAGACTATCGTTGATAGCTCTTCCTCTATAGTAGGTCTTAAGGGCTAAGACACCAGGCCCTGAGGTTGAACGGTCGTCTCACAAACCTAAAGCCTCGCACAGGCCTCCCAATCTCTCGAAAACGGCCAGGCAAGCAAACTCAAACGAAGAAACCGAAGTACTCGAACTATCCGGCTAAGAACACCTTAACCCTTAGCCCCAAACGCCTGAAGCCTAAACACCCCAAACCGCGACATCTACAGGGCCCTTGGCCCTTTTAAGTTTTGCCGAGCAACTTCTTGGGTCCATGCGGCCATCCAAACAAAGTTCAACATGACCACGACGGCGATGCAAACATCCAGGGGACCCTGTTGCGGGCTTCAGGTTGCTTCATATACTATAGTTATACTATATACCCTAAACCCCTTATATGTCAGATATGTTCCAGTATGGTGTTGAAGGGCTTAGGGTAGCCTCAAGGTGTTGTTTCGGGTTGTGACGGGTTTGGTGTTGTTGGGCTTTGGGGGGGTTGGGGCTTAGAGGTTTCATGATTTAGGCTTAAGGTGTTACGGGTTGAGGGGCTCTAAGCCTGTGGAAGTGCACGAGGAGCTCTTGAGTGTGTGTGTGTGTGTGCACTTTGCGCAATTTTGGTGTGTGCATAGTGTGTGCCTGTGTTGTGTGTCGGGTGTGTTGCGCGTGTGTTGTGTGTGTGTGTGTATGCGCGCGAGGGTGGGTGTGGGTGCCCCTGTGGGTGTGGATTCAGAGAAATTACAGAGTATATCATACATGGAACATGAGGGGATGCTCTGACTACAGAGTCAGACCTCTATAGTAACCGCTTCGGGAGTTGCGCCTTCACCCACTCTCGGTATCGCGAGGCGTCCTCCATCTCCGACATGTCCGTCAGGACATGCTTCCTCGGATTGTGGCTGAGGGTCTCCGATGTCGGGTAGCCATAAATAAATCAGGAAGCCACTCAAAACAACCGAAGTAATTAACCAAGCCTGCACCATGGAAAGGAGGAAGAGGACAAACTTATCTCCAAACAACACAACTTCCAAAAGTCAATGAAATAGTGTCTAAACCCGAAGTACCAGAACTTTCGGGTTGAGGGTCTAGGGAAACCCTACGGCCCCAACGCAAAATGCAAAAACCCAATGGTTTCCTGCTCAGCCGCTCAAGCTTTGTCGCATGTCGGTGGCTGGTGGTAGTTCTCTGGCTATGAAGAGCCTTCCCGTTGTCTTTGCCTCTATCTTCCACCTCAGGGGTTTTGGGTTTGAGGAGTGCGTCCTACGCTCACAGTATGCGACTAAACCCAAAAACTGTGAGCAAGAACCCTTGCGTGAGACACCCTTCCCACAGCCCCTTGCCAAAAAAAAGGTTCCCCCCTCGGGCCATGGGAATGTGCAGAATGTCAGGAGAAAAGCATCTGATAGTAAATGCTATAACTGGTCGTGCATTGCTACGGTTCGTGACATTACTGTTGGTGGCTGCTTTGATGCTTGTCATAATCATAATGGTCATAAACATAGGCGTCACGATCATCGTGTCGGACGCGCTGATGAACTTCACACTACTCAGCAGCTATTGAAAACGTTGCCCTCCCTCCCCCGTTGGGAACATTCCTCCAAAATCTCAAAGCTAGCGCACGCTCTCGAGAGATTGCGCCCCGTCCCGTGCTGCCCAAAGCATCGAATGTGTTGAACCCTCGTAGTTTCTGCACATTTTGCCTTGTCCGCTACACGTTGCATGGGCACAGACTTTAAACGCATAGCCCATTTAAAAACCCTACCGCGAAGGATGCTGCGTATACTCTGACACTGGACCAATGGGGAACAGTCACAGTCGGTGAAATCGGCTCAACACCCAAGAGCCAGATGAAGATCCGATGAAAACACACACACACACACCCACGCACACACACACACACACACGCGCGCGCGCGCGCGCCCGCCCGCCCGTACCCGGGTAAAAGCTTCCCAGACACGTTGTAGTTCTTCATCTCGGTAACCTTCTTTCTCTGAGGATTTACAGCCACAGAACTGACTAGCCATAAAGGACACGACAACAAAAACATAGGTTCATGTCTGACATGTTCGAAGTGCAGACAGCTCCTTGATGGTTGTCTCCAGCGGCGCTTCTGCGACGACGTCCTGCTTCGGCACCGCTTCTCCAGGAGCAGCGTCTACCGCAAGCATTTGTTCCAGCCTCTGCTCAATCAAACAAACAAGCGTCGGTTTAAACATGTCAAAACTTAAAGCCCCAACCTCTAAGCACAAAAGTCTCAGAACGTGCTAAATAGAAAAGCGCTCAATCTAATACAGGCGCTGAATCATTGAAATAGGGTCTCGGGGTCTACTATTCAGGACTATAAGGGGGCTCTATATATATATATGCATATATAGATAGATAGATAGATAGATAGATAGACCCTCTTATTCGGGACTATACTGGGGGTCTTATCACTATGTATTTTCAAAAAAGAAATTTAAGAACTTCTCTATATCAGGCCAGAAGCCCGGGTTCTACGGCCGCTGCACCTGAGGGCCCAGACCGAAGCAGCTGGAGATGGTCGTCCAGCAGTCTTCGGATCACGGCCTGCTCTTGGGGTTCTGTTGGTTACGGTTTAGTTTTTTTTTTTTAGCCGGGCCTTTTTCCGCCGGTGGTTTAAGGTTTAGGGTTTAGGGATTTAGGGATTTAGGGTTTAGGGATTTAGGATTTAGGGTTTAGGGTTCTCATGCCCTGTTTCCTAGTTAGTAGAACGCAGCCAAACTCTATGAGACAGCATTATGCTCTCTTCACCCCAACTCATCACAACGGAACCCTTCGACCCTCTTCCCGATGCCACCGTGGCCTCCTGCTGCGCAAACCTCTGCTCCAGCGCGGAGATGAACCACTCCCTTATCAACGACGACATGCACGAAGCTTTGAGATGTCTCCCGACACCTCAAAACTTGAAGCTACCGTCGAATGCATCTTTAAATCGAAAGTTGAACTTTAAACGCTGTAAAATAGGACGACTGACTACACAAGGTTAGGCCCACACTCACTGATCGTGACCATGAGGGGTCGTGCCCAGGGTCTTTCTGTACTCGACTACGCCACTTGGATTACGCCACCTTAAGTGGGCTGCGGCCGAAGCCATGGTAAACCTCGAACAACCTTTCAAAGTACCCGGTCTTCCTTCCAGAAAACCACATTGCGTGGAATTGGACTTGTTGTTGTCTGGGGGGCTCCCTTCCAAATGCTAGCTCCATTATCTTTACACAGATCTCCAAGCTCAACCATCCCTCCCTGAAAAAAGCGACCAAAAAACGATACCCGGATCCAAAAACCCTAATCCCTGAAGCCTCCCCAACTCGGCTTCTAAAGATGCCGGACTTAAACATTCGATAAGGGCTTCAGGGCCTAATTGGCTTGCTTTGATTAGACTGAGCGCTGTGGCATCGCCTTCCCCAAAGTACGGTCTAGTTTAGGGCTTAGGCTTGAGGGTTCTCATAAGTCTTCGACCACGAACCCGGAATTGAGAACAGACCTCGGATCTTGAAGCAGGAACCACGCAGTCTCTAAACCTGTTCTGCACCCAAACCCGCGCCCTGGAGCCCAAACCCAAACCCGAGACACGAAAACTCGACACTGAAAGCCCAACTTGAACCTTCAACTCCAGCAACCACAACCATTACGGAACGTCTACGAGCATAGCCCTAAACCCTCAAACTCAAAGCCTTTTAGGGTCACAGGCGCTGTGGATCCGCCAAGGCAGTTCCGGCACAGTCTGCCGACATTTCGGTGAGCAGCCGAGATGGGTTTCAACACCCCAAACCCAGCGCAAGCCGAAAGATCCTTCCTTTGGGCTAAGATAGGGGGCCCTTGATAGTTAGAATTGGGTTTATACTATTTTAATTGTAAGAAGGAGCCCCATAGTAGCATTGGTTCTTATTTTGGCCCCTATCCTGTTTGCTCTACGGGCCTTAAGGGCCTCGCATTTGAGTTCAAGGGTTGTAGAGTTGAGGGCTTACCGACGAGCCAATGTTCGCCCGACACCTCTATGAGTCCCCAAAACCTATACGAATAAACTTTCAACACAAAGAAACATACGTCGGAAAGCCTGACCCCAAAGCTTGAAACTTCAAAACAGCGGCCAGTGCTCAATGGTTCTGCACTTGAGCCACGCCATGGAGCATTTGAGGCTGCAGCCACGGGTGCTTGTCTGTGAAGTGGGAGACTTCTCTGTTTGGGGGTTGGTCGGCTTACTTGTGCAGCCAATCAAAAGGATCCACATTAGAGGGTCTAGGTGCGGTATGAAGGACGGCAATCCCCGAAGGCCCATGAAGGTGATATAGAAGCCTGAATACATAATCAAGCTGTTCCTTAGTTCCGTAGCTTACCCTACTATGTCTATGCTGCATTAGACCCCGAAGCCCTTCTCAAATCTATATAGAGTTAGTTCCCTGCGAGGAACGCTACGTCGAGAAACTCAACACAAGGTCGGTGCTCGCCATGCAACCACGCGGCCAACACATCTTAATGTAGACCCCTGCCTACCCCCTTCCCTAAGTTGCGTTATACTTACATTCGGACCCTAAACCCTAAGGCCCCCACCCCCAATCCCTGCGATGTAGCCCCTTCGGGAGCAGTAGTTCGTTGCACTGGTTTTAAGGGCTTAGGGCTGAGAGTTTAGGGTTCAAGATTCAGGGCTAAAGGGTTTGGGATTTGGTGTTTCCGTGCACTTCCCCGAAGAACGACGGAACAACACTCACAGCATGAAGAGCTGACAATCGAAAGATGACCCGGACCCTGTCCAAACAACAGCACACTGAGGGTTTAGGGCTTCGGGTTTAGATGGCCTTTGAATAGGCTGATTGACTGCTTCATCGAGTTTGGGCACCTTACCTAATTAACAGAATAAGTTCTAATGTCGTTTTGACGACCGGGACGATGAGCAAGTAGCTCTCCATTAAATAATTCTCAAACCTCCAAATACATTAGCCCCCTAGACCCTATACGCCGCCGAACGACTCTTGTGGACAGGACTGAGCTTGTGACTATCGCCAAGAAACGAACCCAAACCTTCTGCGATTGCGGGTCAGGGGATTATCCACCCCATACACCCGAACCACAAACCCAAAAACGCTGCTCTGGGCCCTCTATAGGGTTCCCGATTGACCTCGGGACGCTTGAAGCTCAGAAGGTCATGATACCGAGAGGCGCACGTCCGGCCCAGGACGGCATTCACTTCAGACTGCATCTGATCGCCAACCTATCAATTAGAAAGCAAGCGCCCAACGAAGCCAAAAGACCGTAGCCAGGATTTACTGCAGCTTAGGGTTTAAAGCTCCCCTAACCTGGTTCTTCTAAGCCGAACCCCTGCATCCCGCTTCCCGTCGACAGGGGCTTCCTTAACGGGCACCGCACCAGGATTCCTGCAAGGCCTCTCTGATTTAAAAGCTTCTGCAAGAGTTCGCGCACGAATCCTTGAGACTGGCCGTAATATTGTGGGCCCTTGGATCCTGGATTGAGGAATGTTTAGGGTCTAGTGGTCCGGGTTTCGGGGTAAAGGGCTGCGGGCCGAGGTTGGCTATGCAGTGGTGCAAGGCTTGAATCACAACTCTGGTTTCGAAGGGGTGGGACTCGATGGAAGGTTATGTGTCGTGAACTGGCGAAGGCAACAGGAAGACCACATGATTGAGAAGCAGGGTCATCGAGCAAGAAGGCTCTGAAAGTCACAGCGCTGAACTTGTCAACGGACAACTGCGCCTGCTTCCTCTGATCCCAGAGCTGGTAGGCCTCGTAGTCAGCAGCTACCTGGCGCAAAATTACGAGCAGAGTTTACTCGCCCCGCATGCTCCACTTTGCCCTGAAACCCCTGCCAACCAAAGAAAGCATACTGTGAACAAGGCCGATGTTTACGCACAACCCCATGATACTCAAAGTCAGCTTATACGAAGACATCCTAGACCCCAGTGCTGATAGCAAAACTACGTGCGTTGAGGCACCGAAATTCCACAGTGCTAGCACAACTTGAAGGTTCGCTGACGAAACGTGGGAATGTAAGTACTTGCACACAGACTACCACATCTACGCATGTTTTTATACGTCAATCATCGCAACAGGTTGCCGCAATCATAATCATTTGCCGATACCAGGACGGTGGCTGTGCTTTGTTGAACCTGCTCCTAATAGCTCACTGAACGCACCCGAACCGCAAACAAGCTGATGGTCCAGGTAAGGCCCAGCAAGGGTGAAAAGGTCAACGACGCAATGCCCCAAATAGTCCACCTCCACCCCATACAAGTTCAGCCTGATGGCTCATGGTCGGATTTCGAGCAACTTCTGATGGCACAAATCTTAAAAGAAAGGTGTAACTGCAACACACAGCAGCAGGAAGAATAATTACTCAAGATGCTACTGATATTACTGGTGAATGATTACTGGTGTTGCTCAACTGAGCTGTGCTTTTTATTCTGTTTCACTCCCAAGGACGCAGCCTTCCACGCCTCGAAGCCGTTTTGCTGGCACACTTCTGAGACACTGCACGTCGTCCCTTCTGTGCGCTCTTCCGCGGACCGAACCCTTCCGCGAGAGCATATAAGCCCCTCTTGACGTACGGCGCTACCTCCTTTCTGCTCTACGGGAGGAACCCTACTGCAGATGTATTCTTCGGGCGCGGCGGTTTGTGTGTTTGTTGCTTCCGAGCCCTTCCGCAGAGCAATGCCTTCCGCAGCCCCTCCGCGTCCTTCCGCGTGCAGTCCCAAAGAGATTTCCACATCGAGTGAAAGTTTTGTCCAGTTGTAGTCTTCCGTCAGGAGACGGAAATAAACAAAGGCTGCTAAACTGTATTTCCAGGGCACTGTCGAAATTCTGTCAACCTGGCAATCCTCGCCCTTGAAATGCGTGCACATCATACACCCCATGGCACAAAGACCACATATATTCTCCAGATCTGTGAAGCCGGGCTGCCAATGCAAACAAACAAGCAAAACTGTACCACCCCCGAACTAGATCGTCCTAAACCTTATTATTACAAGCCTAATACTCAAATTTTCTGGATTATTGCAAAAAGTTGAAGCTTCCGAAGCGGACAGCATGTTCCCCTTCGAGACTTCTTTCACTGTTCACTTGCTCCTGAAAGCCTGCTCACCCGGCCTTGATCAGAGTGTCCCGAATGGTACTGACGAAGAAATCCTGCCAGAAATAG